AAAATGTTGTAATGTTAGCTAAATTAAAAATTAAAGAAACTTTGGTTGATAGAATTCAAAATTTACAGCTTCAAGATTATAAGTTGATGGATATAAAGGACCAATTGTGTAATTATGAAACCAATGATTTTGAGATTAAGTTTGATGGGTATTTGTATTTCAAGGGAAATTATATCTCTACCAAGTGATGATGAAATAAAAAGAGATACTTTAAGAAGCACATTGTTGTCTACTTGCTATGCACCCCAAAGGTAACAAAATGTACCAGGACTTGAAAGCTTACTATTGGTAACTAGTATGAAAAATGAAACATTTGAGTTCATCTCTAATTGTTTGACTTGTCAACAAGTGAAAGATCACATGCCCTCGGAACTTTTGTAATTGATTTCCATTCCTATTTGGAAGTGGGAGAAAATTACTATAGATTTTATATCATGACTACTTCTGGCATTAAACAAAAATGATTTTATTTAGGTGATGGTGGATCGTTTGCCAAATTCAAAGTTAATTATAAAATGTAAAAGTGTGTAGAGTTATACATTAAGGAGATTGTATGTTTGTAAGGGGTATTAGCCTCAATCATTTTTTTTGAAAGGAGTGTTTTGTACGTTATTATAATCGGTTGAACATATAATACAATAACAATGCATGATGTCATGTTAAAAAACCTCCCTACACCTAATTGGAGGAAAAAGAATGCCTTAAGCGAAGTCGAACAATGCAATTACAATGTGACCAAAGCCAAAAACGAATTTAAACAACACTCCAACTGCTACACCTCCAACATGGAAATTACTCTAGCCATACTAGATAGCCAACTTTAAACCGCATACACCATCTACACAACACTAGACTCTGCCCTCATATCCGCAGCAAGACACATGGCTTTTACATACATAACAGCTTACAACTAGTGTAGCTAAGGAAATATACGAGACCACCGCTGCAACCAGCACAAACACATCATAACCCATCATCGACTGGCACTTCACGATGGATGAGGCTGAACCAGAAATTGAGCGCAACATACCAAACTACCATAATACAACAAACAAAAAGATGCTTACACCATTAGGAATATGAGACACCAGCTCTGCTGAAAACTTCACACTACCCAGCTCAACATAAAACCATATTACTACTTCACAGTAATTATATCATTCACACATCTAAAGAAATCCGAGAGAGAAGGGCATGAACCAGGCCATTTACGCTTACTCCAAAATCCGATCCTTACCACAGCCGAATCAAAAATTTGATCCACACCACACGTTTTCTTATTGAACAACACCTCATTCCTGTGCAACCATACAGACCAAATGAAACCAAAAAACACAATATTCCAGAATTGCTTACCTGAATTATAAAACGGAAACCCGCTCCAAGATAAAAGCAGAGATTTAATATCGCCTGAGCACACAAAATGTAAGTTCCACCTTGAAAATCATTTTTGCCAAACGCTTCACACCACCTCGCAATGACAAAAGAGGTGGTTAATCGACTCTATCTCTTTCTTACACAGAACACACAGATTCAATTATTTTAGATCGTGGTTTGAGATTTACATCAAGATTCTAGGAGTTCTTGCATAATGCTCTCAAAATTCAATTAAATTTTAGTATAATCTTTCATTGTCAAGCTTATTGTTAATCCGAAAAAGTGATTCAAATCCTGGAGGAAATGTTACGGACATGTGTAATTGAGTTTCAAGGGTTGTGGGAGAAATAGTATTTGGATGGCTCTTTATGAGACATTATTATTAAGAAACACCAATTTAGATATACTCGATTGGAAATCCTATCTGGCCATGCTCATTATCAATTATGCGTTTAAAAATCCTCCCAGTCATACTCACTACCTATAATGCTTTTACCACTGCTATACTCGCTACCCATATGTTTTATATTTATTGTAAAAAAAACTAACATCATTCTAACTATTCATATGCTTTATTATTAAAGAAAAATAATCATTTAACACGCTTCAGCAAAACATACCACATGCTTTATTGGGGGGAATATATAACAAGCTTGATTATAAGTACTGGACAAATAAAAAGGGTCATGTGCATTTGTGTACTTATATCGTTATCCATTAATTGTAGATGTTTAACATGACTCTAACAAGACTAGATTCATATGGTTCACTATATGTAGTTCAATTCTAAAATGGGTACTCAAAACGACCTCATTGTCGCTTACTAAGACTAGTAAAGCCCTCGATCTTTGCTCATTATAGGTTCATATGGATTGATTTTGAATACGGAGGATACATTTCCCTATACTTGTACGGAGGCTTAACTTACGAATACATAAGGCATATACATCCCGGAAGTAAACTACTATCACGTACGGAAGTTAACCTCACGAAGGCATAACGTGCTGCTCTCACTTAATCGGGATAGAGCTTGGGTAAAATGCTTGATGTAATGTGTGAACATGCACAAATGTTTATGACTCAAGAATCAACCACGGTAAAACAAAATTTGTAACCATGATTATGAAAACCTTTTACTTTTAGGCCCGATTCGTTAATCATAACCCTTTTTTCGAGATAATACTTCCTTCAATTGTGGACTGACTCTCTTCTATCCCCAGTTGAGTCACCAAGATGTTAAAGTTAAGAGTGAGCAAAACTCGACTAAAAAATAAATTTTTCAACTCTAGAAATATATTAAATTATAAAAATTAAAAATAAATAAGAATTAATTTTAGATTAAATAAATATTTTAAGGATTAAATTGAAAAACTTAAAATTTAAAATGACTAACATATTATTTAACCTTTTTATTAAAATTATTACATGACCACCTTGATTGATCAAATTTTTTTAAGGGTACAATACATAAATGCTCACTAATGCTAGAGTAAGTTTTTGTTTTCCCAATTGAAATTTCAAAAGTAACAAATTGATCATTGACATTATCGATTTATAACAAATGGGTCACTCGTAGTTAGCAACCATTATTTGTAGTAACAAAATGCTAATATGGCACGTTAAACTAACTGACATAGCACGTTTAATAATTGACTGACCTTCTTCTTCTACTGTAATACAACCCCAGCTAGAAGAAAATGACTCAATGGATAGAGCTACAAAAGTTATTTGATCCATTTAAAACAGCTAAGATCTTAGAGACAATCTCAAACATCGGTGAAAACGCCATTGTGGTCTTCGTCTCCAAAATGAGTCTGGGTGCAAATCAGGGATTTAAATAGCATTCGCGATCACATTTTCGGTCGCATCGATTTTATCACGGTTGCAGACATAACGGATGTCATTGCAGTCATTGCGGGTATCACGGTTGGAATAACGCTTATAGCGTCCCGTGATCGGCGCAATCCACCGTTACACGTTAAATTGCGGGCGCGACATACCGCTATTGGTGTGAATTCGTTACCCACCGCAAAAATCATGAAAATATATTTCGGACGGCGGTGCTACCGCAATATCACGACCGCTATCACATCTTCGGTCCACAATTTGAAACCCTGGTGCAAATAACTCCACTATGTGAATAGAACTAACTTACAGCCAATTTTCATACTCATTAGTCATTACTAACTCATGTCCTAATTTGCTTTTGTTTCTTGTCTTTTTGAACTCCACTCCCTCCATGTAAGTTAGAAACGAAAAAAAGCAATGGAGCTTAACATATGAAAATTCAAAAGAAACAAAAGAGAAAGCACCCACAAGCTCCATTTGCTTTTATCAAAACACAAAGACCACTTTAACAGCCATCGAGGAATCATCCATGCAGCTAATCCTCCCCTGTTTTGTTCCATTTCTTACGCGTAACATATAACATATTAATCTTTCTTTTCAAATTTGTCATTCGGCCGGCCATCACCACCATAAACATTTTTTTCACCTTCTATCCATTTTGCACTACAAATACCTTCAATTTTCCATGACATACCAAGAAAATTCGATAGATAAAATACCAAAAGAAAGTAAACACAAGCCACCAAAACAAAGCCATGGAGGAGGCCGAGGCCGCTCTTGTGGCTTATGCCTTCTCGTTTTCCTCCTCTTACTAGGTGTCACAGGCTCACAGCACTTACCCTATGGCTCATCTACGGTCCCCACAAGCCTCGTTTCATCATCGTAAGCGCCGCCACTACCAACTCAATGCAACCTCCCAACCATAGCTTTAAATTACGGCCGCAACTAAGTGTAACGACTGCATCTTAACGTTTTCAAGGTCATCGTGACACCGCAAGCCACATCCGCAACATAAAACGTAATTATTTTTAGGGAAAAATCACGTCGTATCGTGCATAACAGCCACAACCGCGACACGGCAGCCGCAACCACAATTTAATACTATGCTCCCAACTTTTCATTTCCACTTCCATGCAATTCACCATAATCACACGAAACCCCAACAGGAGAGTCTCCATCCTTTAAGACAAGTTGCGAGCTTATGTTTTGTACAAAAACCAACAGATCACTCCCCACAGGACTTACCACCATTGTTCCATGAGACGAAGACCACAAAGGCGTTTTCTCTGGTATTTGAACTGCCTATAAGAGCTTGGCTGTTTTAAATGGATCAAATAACTTTTGCATCTATGCCATTGAGTCATTTGATTTTCTTCTAGCTGGGGTTGTACTACAGAAGAATAAGGTCGGTCAAAGGTGTCATGGTCAAACATGATAAATCAGTTGATTTAACGTGTCATGTCAATATTCCGTTAATGTAGTAACGATTGTTAACGGCGAGAGGATAATTTATTATAAATAGATAATGCTAATGACGAATTTGTTACTTTTAAAATTTTAATGATAAAAATTAAAATTTACTCAAATATTAGTGATATTTGTGTAATTTAACTTTTTTTTAAAACGATACTAAATAAAATTAGGCAACTAAAATAAATTTAAAAAATTTAGGGCACAGAACGTAAAAAAAATAAAGGGGAAACGGGACTTTTAAGCCTGTAAAATATATTCTTCACCAGCGTCCGAGTACATATAAAATCTTGGATTTTTATTTCATAATCATTAAGTTCTATTCTTTTCCGTTTTCCAATCCCCCGACAATGGCGGATACTCCGAGCGTTACCCAAGACCCTCCCAGGACCGGTGGCAGAGTGAGCAACGGCGAAGAAAACAATCGTGGACGTGTCCCCGCTTCGAAGGCTTCCATCGAAGCGATGCGGAGGATGAAAGTGGAAGGGGGCGGCGATTGTTCGATCTGTTTAGAAGAGTTTAAAGAGGATGAGGAAGGTAGTGAGATGCCATGCGAGCATGTATTTCATTCGGATTGCGTGGAGAAGTGGCTGCGGATGAATGGGTCATGCCCGATTTGTCGGTTTTTGATGCCGGCTGAGGAAGGCGGTAGTAGTGGGTTGGAATCGGGAGGTAGGCCGATTGATCCAGAATTGAGACAAATGCTATTAAGAGTATCAAGCTTGGCTAATTCCTTAGGTTGGATGGTTTCGGGTCAGAGTCAGGTGGCGCGTGAAGTTGATGATGACGATGAATCATTAGCTCAAGATATCCATTGACCCAAGCCTCCAAACAAACAAATCGGAGTTTATATTTGAAGTTGTTGAGATTATGATGTTTCACTATGTCATCTCTTTTGTTTACCTCGAATGAGCACGGATCATGTATTTCAAGATGAATATGCAATCATTATGAAATTCAAATTTCTATTCGTTTCAAAAGTACAGGATTGCTATCAATATATATATATATATATATATATTTTAGGTTAAAAATTAAAATCCTCTTGTATTTTTAATTGAAAAGTATTAGTTTTATAATGTTTTTTTGTATTTTCCATAAGAAAAAAAATCTCATCAATACACCTTGATTATGTCAATTCTAACTCGAAGCCGAAACCCGACTCAGTTAAAACAAATCCAAACCGAACCAACCCAAACACGCATTATCCGAATAAAAAAAGTAAATTGAAATGATTTGAAAACAAGAATGACCTAACTCGAAAAAATCAACTGATAATCTTGAATGACGAGAACTTAAAATGACTTAAAAGGTCTAAAAGCCGAATTGACCTGATCCAAGTTAGCAGAATCCAAAAACCAACTTCACCGGCCATTTGAGAAATCTACATGCAATCATACCAGCTTTAGAAGCAAATCATTGTAAACTCAACATGTGACCTTGATAGTAAGCAAATTTTGATGGAAAATACTAATGATATTAATAATTGGAGTAGAATGAAAAGGTTAAAGAGAAAATAACTTTTTAGGTACTAGGACTAAATCCCAAACTTTGTCAAAGTATATGGACTAACTGGCGGATTTTGACCTATTATCAATTGACATTCCTAACTCAGTTCTTCCAGCTCCATTTGCTCCACTCACCCTTCACCAATTCAACCACTTTTTGCAGAGTTCTGATGCAAAAGGAGAAGGCAGAAAGAGTTCAAAAATTGGAAGCAGAATCTACAACTGTTCAAGAGGAACGTATTTTACAGATAAATAAAGAAATAAGCTACATTGCTCGGAGGTTTCTTCAAGGTTTCTCCATGTTTTTGGATTATCATACGTTCATATCCATATCGATGAGTCAACAGAGGGTGTATTTCAAGAAAACTACTCAGAAGAATACAGGAAATAAGCACCAAATTTAAATGTAAAGCTTCACATTTTCATTTGCTTCTATAAACTATGGGACTTGAACTCAAATGATCAAATAGTTTCTTAAGGACTTTCATGTACATCATTCCTAATACTCCATGTAATAGTGCTATAACCAATTTAGCAGAGACTATAAACTCTTTTAAGCATACAAGGGAAAGATAAAAGCAACACATATATTCATGAGGTTGAACTGAATTTAAACCGGGAAACAGCAAAATCGGCTTACCCTCTAAAGCTAACAGCTTAAACTGATGAGAACCGGCTGGACTACAGAGTAACAATCGTGATGAACCGTAAAAAGGGAAGAGATGAACTTACCTTAGCTATATTTCTGCATGCTGTTAATCTCACCCCTTCTTCCTTTAACAGGATATGCTCGAAACAAGGAAAAGGCACTTTAAGTACTTACTGGAAAAGCTTCAACAACAAGAAAACAGAAAACATATGCAAATATAACAATTGGCTTTGTTACACCATGGCCAATCATGGGAGATGTAGTAATTCACAAAAATGAATGCAAAATTGAGAATTAAAGAGTATTGAACCAGGAGAGTAAAATAAGTCCACTTATGCAATAAGATACTCATGGATTCGATCAAGTTAAACAAATAATATATTCTACAATAGAACATGAAGATTCAGTAGAGAATACTGTGGTCAGGATACTAGAACAGCTACACATGAGATGTTTAACCTTCTCAAAATCATCTCTTTTGGGAACTGTATGACCAATAATACTCATTAGACCAAGTTACTGTCGTTTGCAATATACTAATATGAAGCCGAGACTGTAGGTAACGCTGTTGAGTAAACCAGAAGAAGAAAGATTTGGAAGACCTTGTAGTTAAGCCCTAAAGTATACCCAAGTCTGAGTCTTCATTCACTTCTTCATTTACCATGAGAGAGCCAATCCCAGATCTTGCTCTTCTTCCACGACCCTGTTTTTGCAAGACTGACTCATAAATCAAACTCAGACTAGGGACTTGGATAATGCTTATTGCCTGCCCATTCATCAAGGATTAGATCCGACAAGCTCGACTACAATCCGTATCATAGTCAAATAGTTCTCAGAACACATTACAAATCAAATAGTTCAACAAAAGCATGGCAATCTAATACCTGAAAGGTTTCAAATTTCAGTGATCTATAACTACATAAAAATAAATTGTAGAACTAAGAGCACAACGCATAAGCTTTAAAACATAAATTTTCAGTAAAATAGCAATAAAATAAACGAAAGAAAGGGTTATTATATTCCCCCAATAACTGAATGTATATAATCCTTACAACTTATTGCTATAAGAAGCTTATTTAAAGACAACATAGTATCATATTAAACTAACTTGAGAAGGCACTCCTCTCTGCATTATGACCACTTTCTATATTGCTTTAATTCTCTATCTATTGTATCCTGAAATCCTATTTCTTGATCTTCCTTTTCTTCTTGGGCCCCGGAACCTCCAATCTGCCAACCGAACATCCACATTTAGCTCGAAAAATAAGCACTGCTCTTCCGTTAACTGGTGCCATCCTCTTTAACTCAGCTTCCAATTCCTTATGACGGTTGTGCAGCAATTCTAAAAGTCCTCGAGTAACACCATCTTTAGGCGTGGAGCTTGAATTCTTAACACATTCTTCGGTTTCCAACTGAATATCGAATTCGGTCGCCTTACTGAGCCCCTTACAGTGAGGTTTCCCACATTTCCTAGTTGTACAAAGGAGCAAAATCGAAGCAGCTATTGCAGAACAAGAAAAACCAAGTCCTATAGATCCGTATACCATCGGAGATATCATCATTTCATCTTTAACCAAATAAAAGACAACTTCAATGAACTCAAACAATTTCAAAGATATGGATTTTATAGTCGGAAACAATAAGAATCCAAAAGCAGCAATCACAGCAATTAAGATGACAACATCAATGGCAGCAGATCTTGATCTCTCACAAGATGGGATTTTCAAACAACTTGGTGGATTGGATACCTTTTGTTTCTTAAAAAAATTGGCCCTTGACGATGACGGTTTGGATGGTTTGGGGTTCATCATGAAATCACTTGAATTCCCAGAATTTCCCATAGGAGAAGCCTGGTCAACCGAGTTGCACACTGAGATTGATCTATGCAAATAGACCATTTCAAATCAAACCCATAAATTTAACTCCAGAAACAAAGAGAACCCAATCAACAAAAATCGAAACTCTTATCAATTTTCCTTCAACCCTAAACACCAAACCCACCTCGTAAAGAAATCAAAAAGAAAACAACTTTATTATCTCCACCTCAAGAGCAGGAGCTCCTTCAATTATAATCCAAATGATTAAATCCCTTAAAGAAAACAACAGTCGGAAACTTTCAATCCCAACTTGAGAATTTGAGATTGAATTATCAAGAGCAATAGAAATATAACTGAAATAATTTAAGAAAGGCCGGCTATTGGGAGGATAGAGAGACAAAGGGGACAACGGAAGAGTCCTTTTCTCCTAAAATTATTTCTTTTATCACAAAATTTGTTGATCTAACACCCGAAGCTTTGGTTGCATTTGGAGAAGATCAGACGCGTTTAAAGAAAAGGAAAAGAAAATTGCTGGGCTGTTCATCATTAGAATGGGCTTGAAAATCGGTTGTTTTGAAGAATTAGAGTGTCTTCAATCATGTGCTCATGATTTTGTGGTCATTATTTGGGCTTCGTTCCGTGTTCCCTTTATTTTTAGCGTAAATTATACATTTAGTATCTTAACTATCATTTTTGTTTTATTTTGATCACCTAATTATTATTATTTTAAATAAAATCATACTTTACATTTTGATTTTATTTTATGATTCGTCATTAAAAAGTAACAAAACAACTGACTTATATTTTTAAAAATATTTAATGATGACATGGCATCAGCTTATGGTGTGACGTTAATTTCACTGTTATTTTTTAATAGTGGATGATCAAAATGAAACTAAAACGTAACATTAAGTGTGATTTTAAAATAATAAATAGTTACGTGACTGAAACAGAAAAAAGTAATAATAGAAGATAAAAAGTGTGATTACAAAAATTAGAGGCATCAATTATAAATATAAAAAATAAAATTAAAGAAAAATAAAGGACTAAATTATAAAAATAAAAAATATAATAGAAAAAATAGGGGCTCTGAGTGGTTGCTCTGGGTGCACCCCTAGCTGGCACGACCTCTGTAGTATCTGATCTAGATTAAACGATTAGTAAATTAAATACATATTGTTATAAAAAATGTAATTATAATATATATATATATATATATTACGGTTCTTTTTCCATTTACTTCGTTGCTGCCCGGGCTTATTCTTTCCTTTTTTTTTCAATCAAAAGATTTCTTTTTCCGCTCAATTGATTTCTCCATGCAAAAACCATACTTTCTCGTAAAATCAATCTCTAAATCTTTTTATTTTATTTTCTAAAATTTAAAATTTATTGCTATTGTTGTGATTTCAAATTTTTGAATTAATTTTTTGCACGAACCCCAATCACCTCGGTGATAAAAGAATTGTTGTTATTTATTGAGGTCTCGAGTTCGAGCACCAGAAACACTAGGGGTACGAGCCTTCAATGTCAAATGATTGCGAGTTATATTTAAACAGATACTGCCTTATGCATATCCTAGATTATCAACAAAAAACAAACAAAAACAAAAACAAGATACTCCTTCGGTTCCAAAAAAATTATCCCTTATTAACCTTTTAAAAAGTCAATTTTTTATACTTTAAAAAGATTATTTTTAATATTTAAATAATTAAATTTTGTAAAATATATATTTGAAAACTATTTGATTGAAGATTTTTAAAATATATTTTATATATTTTTATTAATAATAAATTTTAAATAATAATTAATCAAAATTAAAAAAAAATATCGATAAACATATTATTATAAGAGAGTATGATTATTTAGTTTTTCCCGTGAACATTGTTCCAAACTAAAAATATATTTTCATTTAATCAATAAGTGTTGATTCAAATGGTAAGTAGTCTGATATCACTTAAATAATGTCTTAAGTTCGAGTCCTTGTATATGTAGAAAATATAAATTGAGAGATTCATCCACTAAAACCATGTATGCGACGTTGATCGATTCGAATTAGTCAAGATGAAGCCTTGAAATTGAAAGGGAAAAATATTTTCATTTAGAGTTCTTTTTTCTAATAAGTATATCAACATTCCGTGGATATTCTTCTTTTTCTTTATTTATTTAAGGTTTTTTACTCATGAATTTAATTCAGGTACTTTGGTTATGGCGATGGATGAAATATTGACTGCACTTTTTCTTTTAAAATTTCTTTTATGATATAATATTAACAGAAACTTCATCGATTAATTATTATTTGTGTTTGTATTTTTTAATAGTTTAGAATAATTATAAGATAATATATGTTTAGAAAATCTTAACTATTGATAATGCTACATTCGTAACTATTTAAACTCAGAATTTCTAACGATAATGATATTCCCTTTAACCGTTAAGGTTATTTGACGGGCTGTTACAATTTGTATTTTTTTCCTAAAAACCTTTTCATGGTGCCTCCTCATCTCATTACTTGTATTTCTTCTTTCCTCTTGTATTTTTCGTAACCTCTAACAAAAATGATTCTGCCCAATTTGAGTTTTGTATTTTATATTTATTTTAGTATTTTTTTTATTAATACGTGGTAAATATAAGATAATATCTGTTCAAAAATAACTCTTAACCATTTGACATTAAACGCTTAACCTCTGACATTCAGAATACTCAAACTTATAAACTCAAAAAATAACAATAATTCCTTTACTACCAAAATCATTTGGTTTATACATTTTATTTATTTATTCGGACTGAGTCACAACACATGAATTTGTGACATAAAATTTGGGGAGGGGAGATCGCCACAATTACCCGAAGTGGGTCGAATTTAAATGAATATTTTTATTTCTCAAATTAGGGTTGGGCGACTAAAAATCTAACTCACCTCACTCCGTTTTAATTCCTCATTTTAGTTTCTAAATTAAACTAAAATTTTCATTAGTAATGAAGTTATTTATGAATTTTATATTCCAAAACTTTTTTACATTAATATTAGAATTTTTTAAATAAAATATAAATATCAAAGATTTTTAATTATGAGAAAATAATATACATATCCCTTAAAATATCTCGTTATATATCAACTTTTATGCTATGTTTCTGTAATAGATAATATCTTAAAAAATTCACAAATAGAATGATCATGTGAATACATGATATATATATATATATATATATATATATATATACACATCACTATTAACATTATATCTAATAAATACAACATCGACGCTTTTAGTTGTAACGCCCTTAACACGATCTAGTTAGGAATTGGATCGACGATGTTACATAACTGGTTGAAATCGATAACTTTTAACCTAATTTGAATATCAATTATATAATTAATCAAATTATGATTTCAGTGATTAAGTTGTAATCATAGCACATTAGGGATCATTTCATACAATTCAACATACTTTTAATAGTGGACTGCTTTAAATATTCAACATCGTTGGTATCAAAATTGTTCATACAATATCGATACTGTCTTAGAACGGTACCGATAATAGTTGAATTATAGTGATAATTAATTATTAATCCCAACTTTAAAGGTCAAATTGGTGTTGATACCTTGATCCAATACTGATCTATATAAGTACAATATTGATATAGAACCATGTTATTAATACACTTTTAGGGTTATAGTATTTGGATCTATTTAATGAGTATCGATACCCAAAAAACAATATTAGTATCATATATATAGTATTGATACCCTATGCTAGTGTCGATGCCAAAAAATCATTCGAAATATCCCAATAAGCATATAATATCGATATCTCTGTTTTGATATCAAGACCATATGCACCAAATGGTCAAATTCAAATTTCAAACATACTCCAAAATGCATCAAACTTGGCCTAAACTATATGTAACATGTATGCATGTAATGACATATCAATAATGCAATTAACATCAATTTCACCAATGATTTCCCTACATATGCATATATTATAATCACACTTGTAATCATAAACCATATCTTATCATTTTTACATACCATTTACCTTAAGCACTCATTTCTCATGTTCATACTTTTAAATATACCATCATATAACTCATATGTATCAAAATATCAAGTAATATAATATCAATCAACATAATAGCATATACAACACAGAACTCATCAAAAGATCAATAGGTTTACATAGTCACCATTCTAGGAGTTTTCGAAAAGATCTTTACACTAACAAAACAATGATGACAAGTAACTTCTAGATGCAATCATGCCCACTAAGTAGTATGATATCTTGAAATCAATAAACACACAAATTAAACTTATATATATATTAGTGAGGTAGCCATAAACAAAAAAATCTTATTAGATGGCAATTATATTCATTTGATCAATACTCATCCATAAGAACTTTAACATTAATAACGATAACAATTATCATATTCATAATCATAATGAAATCATCACTTATAAGCTTAATGGTACTCTTTTGAACAAGGGATACGTGAATCCTTACGTCATTGTTAATAGTGAAAATATCAGTAATGGTTAATAGCTCTGTCACCATATCGACATAAGACCGAAGTCTTACAATACCCATATAAGCGTTGTGAACTTTGTGGCATGCCAATTGTATCCCGAAATCTACAAGTTAACCATGGGCATAATAGTACAACATCGTTACTTACCAAATATCATTATTGATGTCATAGCTCTAAGATGCACATATGTAGCCACATAGGCTCTATTTTATCTAGAATACATCTCAGACATCATCATATACATATCATAAAATATTAATATCAACAAAAAACACGTATAACTTATCAATCTTACCAATATAATAGATGTCATCCTTTGTTGCTCTAAAGGAGTCAATAACACAAATAAACATAACATATACGATAATGACCAAATAAACATACAAGCACGATAAAAGTAACTACACTTAACTAAAGATTCTCGATTTACCTTGATTTAAGCACTCATGAGAACCTTAGCTTTTCCTCTTGGAGTGGTGCCTTCCATTAATTTCTCTTGCTCTAGCAAGGTAGAAAAACACTTAATCAACAATAGTTCATCATCCCAAATGATTAATTTAAGCAAAATCCTTCAATTTTACCATAAACCCTAATTTGAATATTATTTAAGGTTTTAGTTAAACTTATCTGATTCTTGAAATTGACACTACTAATGGAAAATTTATGTAATAAGGATTCTAAATATGTATTTATCTTTCAATTTGGGTGAGAGAAATGCCTTTAATTATTAGAGAAAGTTTAGTGTTTAATGGAGTATTAAGATTTCAAAAGTGTCAAAGGTTAAAGACGATGGAGAAAGAAATTTGTTTAATGCCCTCTTTGCTTAGATATAACCATTGGAGCAAACCTCTCCAGGAAGGAAACTTAAATTATCTAATTTATATATTATAGAAATTGGGAATAAAATGTACAAGATGGAAATAGGTAGCTT